GGACATCAGGAGGAATTTCTCCATGGAAAGGGTTGTCCAGCCCTGGCACAGCTGCCCAGGGCAGTGGGGGAGTCCCCACCCCTGCAGGGATGTATGAGCTGTGTGGTTGTGACCCTTGGGGACACGGCCAGTGGTGGCCTTGGCAGTGCTGGGTCGGACACAACGATCTGAGAGGGCTTTTCCAACCTCAGCCATTCCGTGAGGACTCTGGACAAAAGACATGTCAGCACAAGGCAGTTGTGCAGCACTTCCCAGGAGAGGCAGCAGTACCTGGGAACCCCCCTGGCCCTGGCCCAGCTCACCTTGGTGTGTGCCAGCAGCAGGCAGTTGGAGTGCTCGTGCTCGCAGGCGATCTCGTAGTCGGGCAGGAGCTCAGCCAGGTCCTGCACAAACCCCACCACCTCCTCGTGCCAGGGCACGTTGGCCATGGTGAGGCTGCTGGCAGAGCTTTCTCCACAGTAGGTCACGCCCTGGGGAGAGACATGGAAACCATCAGCAGTCAGTCTGGAACGTCGGGTTTGTGTCCCCCCCTTCACGAGGTCACAAAGTTGGAGATGGCACCAAAACTCCATCTCTCCCTTTAGTGACACATCTGTGTGCCCAGGGGTCCCTGGCAGCACAACACAGGGTAGTGTTTATCCTGGAAAGCAGCTGGAAGAGGGTTCAAAGGGAGGATGGTCCTGAAACACAACACCTCTGGAATAAAGTCTTGTGAACATCCAATGGGACAAGTCATTCCTGGAGATACTGTCCCCTGTGTCCTCCAGTGCTCCCTGATATCACTCCATCCCTTCATTCCCATCATTTCCATCCCAGTGCTCCCATCATTCCCATCACTCCCACCCCCCTGGTGATACAACACCTGCAGCAGCCCTGAGACCCCTGGCCAGTGAATGCAACCCCTCAAGTTCTCCCACCCCCTCCACCACCTTCAGCCTCCCAACCACAGAACCCTTAAGGTTGGAAGAGCCCCCCCAGACCATCGAGCCCAATCTTTGAGCCATCTGACCCATCACCACCTTGTCCCCCAGCCCAGAGCACTGAGTGCCACCTCCAGTTGTCCCATTTTGGAACTAGCTGCTCTTAATTTGGAAATCCAATCACTTGAACCTCCTGAATTACTGACTTAGTTTTAGCCATGACCTCAAATCACTACTGACTTGTTCACTTTTTAATCAATCAGGAAAATTCTCCTAAATTGCTTCAGCAGCCTGTGGCTTGTTGAGATGTGTTTTTCCTTTTTCTTTCCCTTCCCAAACCTTCCCTTTCCTTATTTCCTTCCCAGAGCAGAACACTGTAAAATACTGGATGTTTCTTAACCTGCAATTTGTCCAGCAGGTCAATGGGTGCCAAAAGGCAGCGGGTGGTAACACTCAGTGTCACCCACTCGGAGTGTAAACTGTTTATGGGATCTTTTAATTGTCTGCTTAAAAGTATTTGGCACAAACTCCCACGAGCCACCTGAAGTTCTTCTACTCAAATAATTAATTCACTGTCATTTTCCCAGCAGTTAATCTGTCACCAGCAAGAGAAGAAATCACCATCCCCTGGTCACAGGGTTGGTCACAAACCCACCCACAGGGGGAACACAAAGAAAGGGCTTTTCCCCTGCCCTTTGCTCCTTGCCTGAGCTGTTTTATTCCAGTCACAGAATCCCCCCAAGCACAGCCTTTGAAAACACCATTTGATGGCTGGTGATGTCTGGTTTGTCCCTCTTGAACACTTCTACCTCTTTGAAATGGCATCTGCATCCAAGCTCACGTGTGTGGTGTCCACCCCACTGACACCCTGCTCCCAAATCTGTTAATCTACCAATTAAGAGTAAGGTGAGCCACACAGGGCTACAGAAGAGACAGCCTGCTGCTAATTAGCAACCCTACAAGTTTAGGAAGCAATTACTTTCTCACCCAGAAATCACTGAGTGGCTCCCTCCATTAATCTGCCCAAACACCACAACTCAGAGCCAGCCTGGAAACAGGGGGATGGTGCTCAAAAAAGGGATGTGCATTCCTTTGGATTTAGCCCAACTATGAGAGAAGCCTTTAAAAATATTAGTTGTGTCTTCGTTAGTCTTACTCAGAGCAGCCACAGGCACGCAAATGAGGGGTTGTGGATACCCAAAGTTCAGCTGGAGGGACACAGGAATTATTTTCCCTGCATTCATTATCCAGTTTATGATTTGAGCAGCATGAAAAATGGATGAGGACAGAGGGGGAAAATTCTTAGGAAGCTACAATGTGACTCACCCTCCCAGTAAACTCCAACGAGATCATTTACAGGCAAAGGAAGCCCATGGAATAACGGAGGGCTCGGCTGGCTCATTAATTCCCAGCACAAATCAATGAGGAGCAGCTTCCAGCACAGCCAAGGAAAGCACAGCAGCTTTCAGCTTCCCCAGCTCCTTAAAACTGGAGTTAATTACCGGAGCTGAGACCACTTAAAAAGTGGGAAGAGTTGATTAGGGCGGTCAGGTTGTGTTTTCTGGTAATACATGAAGGCAGTTATTGAGACATCAAGTGTTCAGAAGGAAGTGATTCCACTGTGCCCCCCGAGCTCCCACACCAACCTCCCCCTGTCAGCAGCATCAACACTGCTCTTAATTACTCCTTAATAATAATGTTATTCCTTAATAAAAATGCTGGTGGAGCATCCTAACCCACAGGGCTTTGGCCAAGCACCTTGGAGTGCAGCAGCCTTTTGAAAAGCATCTCCTGGTTCTGCCAGGATGAAGCCAGAGAAACCCTGCTGGGGTTCACAGAACCATGGAATGGCTTGGGTTGGAAGGGGCCTTAAAGACCATCCAGTTCCACCCCCTGCCAGGGGCAGGGACATCTCCCACTGGAAAAGCAACCCCGTTTCTTAAGCTGTAAAAAAGTGTTTCTAAAGAAGAAAGGAAATAAAAGTAATTTTGCCCAGAGCACCTTTGGTGTGTGGCTGCTGTGCAGGGCTTTGTGAGGGGGGACGTTAAATTGATTTTCAGGAGATCAAAAGCACAAATGCTGTGTGAGATCTCTGTTCTTTATAGGATGTGGAGGGGCAGGGAGGGCACTGCTGTGTCTGTGGGTGATGGACGCCCTTCCTGACCATCATTTCAAACAAAATTGTAGCACCCCAGAATGGTTTGGGTTGGAAGATGCAGGAAATGAAATATATTAATACAGGTTTGCTTTTTGAGCTTCAGAAAAGATTAACAGAAACACAGTAAATATATATAATAATGTGTGAACCGGGCAAGTGATGGGATTGTGGAATCCTGGAATGGTTGGGGCTGGAAGGGACATTAAAGATCATCTCATTCCAATCCTCCTGCCATGGGCAGGGACACCTTCCACCAGCCCAGGTTGCTCCAACCTGGCCTTGGACACTTCCAGGGATGGGGCAGCCACAGCTTCTCTGGCAACCTGTGCCAGGGCCTGCCCACCTGAACAGGGAAGTTGGGTTGTGGGAAATGAACTTAATTCCCCAAAGCATCTCCCTGGGGTCCAGGGTATGGACACTCTGCCTGTGGAATTCTTTGCTTTAGGTTGTAGGGAGGTGGGGGTTGGTCTCTTCTCCCAGGGAACAAGGGACAGGACAAGAGGAAACGGCCACAGGTTGTGCCAGGGGAGGTTCACGTGGATATCAGAGAAAAATTCTCTCTAATATCCCATCCAACCCTGCCCTCTGGGAGTGGGAAGCCATTCCCTCTTGTCCTGTCCCTCCATCCCTTGTCCCCAGTCCCTCTCCAGCTCTGTTGGAGCCCCTTTAAGCCCTGGAAGGGGCTCTCAGGTCTCCCTGGAGCCTTCTCTTCTCCAGGGGAACAATCCCAGCTGTCCCAGCCTTCCCTCCCAGCAGAGCTGCTCCATCCCTCGGATCCTCTTGGTGCCTCCTCTGGACCTGCTCCAGCAGCTCCACGTCCTCCTTGTGCCGGGACCCAGAGCTGATTTCACGTGGCTGGGATGGAGCTGAGTGAGCACAACTACTGACCAGAGCCTTGTGCCAGGCTGAGGAGCACATTCCCTTCCCAAGGATCTGGCTCCTGGATGGAGACCTGGACAGCCAGCAATCATTTTAATCCATGGGGCTCCGAAGGAAACATTCCTGGAGAATCAGATATGACAGGGCTTTGTTTCTCAACTCAGACTCCAGACTTCCCAACTTAATTACTGAACAAAACAATTCCCTGAACTGCCAGCCCACAAATTACACATTTAATGGAGGCTCATGTGAATGGAGAGCAGAACAAAGTGTCAGCCAAGCTGCTGAGTGACAGAGCCACTGTTTAAAAACTGGGGCAGCCCTGACCCAGGACAAATAGAAAAATCCTCAAATGACATGTTGATAGATGGCACTCCCTGCAATAAAAGTGCTCATGGGCTGGGCATCAGCACCTCCAAATGACAGACACGGCCCTGCAGTGGGTTCAGCGAGGATTCAACTCGTTGATTGTGTTTGATAATCACTTTAAAGCTGATTTAACAAAGGCCACCTGTTCTGAGTGGCAGTGAAATGTGAAAGGTAGGGGTGGAGAGGGTGAGCTGGGCTGCACAACCCCAGCTCTCCAGACACCCTCCACACATGGCCATGCACTGAGTGGGGCTGCAGCCACCCCATAATGTTCTGTGAGTCCCCTGAAGGGGAAGAAGCTCCTCCTGGAAAAGCTGAACTCCAACACGGGACACAGCCTTTCATTCCAGCTCTTCAAAACCATGTGGATACCAAAAGAGAAAGGGCCACTGTTGAATCCCTCACCCCTCTGCTCCCAGAGTCACCTTCATGGAAGTGCTGAGGCTGGAAAAGCCCTCCCAGCCCATGGATCCCCCCTGTGCCCCATCCCCACCCTGTCCCCCAGCCCAGAGCACTGAGAGCCACCTCCAGCCCTTCCTTGGACACCTCCAGGGGTGGGGACTCCAAACCTCCCTGGGCAGCCCCTGCCAGTGCCTGACCACCTTTTCCATGCAGAAATTCCTCCTGATGTCCCCCCTGCCCCTCCCCTGGCACAGCTGGAGGCCGTTCCCTTTCCTCCTGTCCCTGTTCCCTGGGAGCAGAGCCCGACCCCCCCCCCCCAGCTCCCCCCTCCTGTCAGGGATTGCAGAGCCAGAAGGTCCCCCCTGAGCCTCCTTTTCTTCAGGCTGAGATATCCCCATTCACTTTTTAGTTTCTACACCTTCCCTTGGGCATTGGAAGAAGTTTTCCACCATGAAAGTGGTAAAACACTGGCACAGGTTGCCCAGAGAAGCTGTGGCTGCCCCAGCCCTGGAAGTATCCATGGTCAGGCTGGACAGGGCTTGGAGCAACTTCAGTCTAATTGAAGTCCCTGCCCATGGCAGGGGGTTGGAATTAGATGACCTTTAAAGGTCCCTTCCAACCCAAACCATGTCCTCAGAACCAGAGGTCACAGCTGAGAGGACAAGGTGACACTGAGGGGTTGGAGTGTGTGCAGGGAAGGGAACGGAGCTGGGAAGGGGCTGGAGCAGCAGGAGCAGCTGAGGGAGCTGGGGGGATTCTGGAACAGTGACTGGTCAATGTTGGGCTTTTTTCAGGCATGGAAATCATCCATGGTGTGAGTTTATTTATAGCAGGGACTAGAACAGGAGATTTAGCTTCACTTCCCTTCATCTAAATTCCAACTGGGATTCAGCAGGACTCAATGGCTTTTTTGACAGGTGGGGGCAGTCCCCTCTTGCTGCTGCAATTAAAAACTCATTAAGGCACAGCTCATTTTCCTCATTACTTTAAGCATTTAAATAATCTTCAGTGTTTAATATGACAAGACTGAGCAGATTGGGCCTGATACTTCCTTCCACACATTTACTTGGTCATTTGAATTCTGCAGCAAAGCCTCAGGAGCTTTGCAGTCCCAGAGACCAGACACCACCACCAGCCTGGTGTGGAGGTTCTGCAGAGAGATCTTCAGGGACAAGTGTTTCCAAGTGGCTGAAAACTGATTTCACAAAGGCTTGAGAAGATTCTGTGATGGGACTTTCATCTCTGCCCTGCCCAAAGTGCTGCCCTCAGACATTTTGGTACAAACAGCCCTTGGCCCAAGGGCAGCCAGGCTTGTGTTGTCCTCCTGAAATTAAAAGGGATGGGGGAAAGCTGGAAGGCTCAGCTCAAGTGGGAAGTCACAAAGTCCCACTGGTCCTGTGAGCTGCACCAGGAAGCTTCACCTTCCCAGAGGAAGTGTCCAGGGCCAGGTTGGAGTGACCTGGGATAGTGGCAGGTGTGCCTGCCCAGGGCAGAGGGTGGCACTGGATGGTCTTTAAGGTCTTCCCCAACCCAAGCCATTCCATGATTCCATGATTTACCAGAGACAGACCTTGCCCCAGGGACAATGTTCTGCTTCTGGCTCCAACCACAGCAACCAGATCACAAAATCATGGAATATCCCGAGCTGGAAGGGACCCACAAGGATCATCCAGTCCAACACCTAGCCCTGCACAGACACCCCAACAATTCCACCCTGTCCCTGCGAGTGTTGCCCAAACCCTCCTGCAGCTCTGGCAGCCTTGGGGCTGTGCCCACTGCCCTGGGGAGCCTGTTCAGTGCCAACCACCCTCTGGGGGAAGAACCTTTGGCTGAGATCCACCCTGAGCCTGCCCTGACACAGCTCCAGCCATTCCCTGGGGGCTGTCCCTGCTCACAGGGAGCAGAAATGTCCTTCTGCTCTGAGTGCCAGAGCAGGTTTGGGTCACAATTCTGAAGGAATTCCTTAGGGCTCATCTACATTTCATAGGAAAATCCTTTTGCCTCTTTGGTTTAAGAAGGAATAAATAGCAAAACAGAGTAATTTCATTTGATTCTCAGAGAATCCAACAGAGTCATTAGGGTTGAAAACCCCTCTGAGATCATCAAGTCCAACCATTCCCCAGCACTGTGAAAGCCACTCCTAATGATGTCCCCAAGTGCCACATCCACAGGTCTGTTAAATCCCCCCAGGGATGGGGACTCCCCCATTGCCCTGGGCAGCTGTGCCAGGGCTGGACCACCCTTTCCATGGAGACATTCCTCCTGCCCCTCCCCTGGCACAGCTGGAGGCCGTTCCCTCTCCTCCTGTCCCTGTTCCCTGGGAGCAGAGCCCGACCCCCCCCCCCCGGCTCCCCCCTCCTGTCAGGGATTGCAGAGCCAGAAGGTCCCCCCTGAGCCTCCTTTTCTCCAGGCTGAGCCCCCCCAGCTCCCTCAGCTGCTCCTGCTGCTCCAGCCCCTTCCCAGCTCCCTTCCCAGCTCCCTTCCCTTCCCTGGACACAAAAATGCTGGATAGCAACACAAACCTCTGGCTTTTGGAACATTCAAGACAATGATTTGCACGTTCTAGACCTTAAATACACCCACCCACTGTGCAGAGACACGCTGGCATTGGAACACACTAAGGCAGTAAGTACTTCTGGTGCATATTTAATAACCCCAGGACTGATTCTCCCTTTACTATTGGCTTAAATAAGAGAATGGGGTCCCACAGAGTCGAGACACCCAAGGAAATGAGAACAAGTGTTAAGCCCTGTGAGAATCTGAATCTCCATCCCCTGCACCCCGTGAGCCTCCTTGGAGCAACACTGGATTAGCTCAGTTCATCTTACATGGACGTCATTTCTCTCCAGTATTTAACCAGGGAATCCCCCTGGGATCAGCCCCATTTCCTGGCAGGTGCTTTGCAGTCTCTTGGACTGATTTTTTGTTTATGTGCTTTGAGCGTGACCCGGTTGTTGCCTTTCTAACCTGTCCCACTGGAGCTCTGGGAAACACCATGCTGAGCCCTGTCCACGTGCCAGATGTACTGCATTCTCAAAGGAACACAAGAAATCACTTTTAATCAAAAACATCAAGTGTTTTGGGGGCAATTCCCAGGTGACAAATGCTGTGTGAGCACCACGACTGCCAGGGCTGCACCAGAGGCCAGGGACGCACTGGCAGGAGTTTCTGTCTGACTGCAGGAAAGGGAATCCCAGCAGCAACCTTGAGACTAGAGAGGAACACACCCAACCCTTCCTGCCTTCATTTAGGTCAGAACTGAACCCCTGACTTTATGTCCTATGGTACAATCACAGAATCAGGGCATGGTTTGGGTTGGAAAGGAACTTAAAGCCCATCCAGTGCCACCCCATGCCATGGGCAGGGACACCTTCCACCAGCCCAGGCTGCTCCAAGCCCCATCCAACGTGGCATCACTTGGAATGCTGTGGGATCCTACCTATGGGATCACCTGCTCACTTACACTTCAGCAGCACAATCACCACTTCCCAGGGTTTGGGGGTACAACAGAGCCCCTCTTCTGCTGGTCCCCTGTGGTGTGCAGGAGTTGTGCTCCACTTTTATTCCAGAGCAGTTAAATATCACAGGGACAGAGGCCTGGCCCTTTGCTTCAGGTGCACAGGTAGGAGCAATGAAGCACCTTGGAGCATTCTTGACCCCTGTTTGCTCCACAGAGCAGTTCAGATGTTTCTGAAGCCACTGCAGTAGCGGCTCCATCGTGGGAGAAGGCTCATCTCGTGGGTAGGGAGTTGGACAAGCCAGAATTAAAGGTAAGATGAAAAGCAATGGAGGATAACCTGATGAAGTCAAACCCCAGGGCAAAGGTGTGAGGACAGGCACAGCAGCAACACAAAGGTCTCCAGCAACTCATCAGCAGTTTAGAGAAGGGCAGCCAAGTAAGGACACCATCCTTAAGATCATGGAATGGTTTGGGTTAGAAGGGAACTTAAAACTCATCTCGTTCCACCCCCTATAGCTGAGCAGGGCTGAGCCCTCAGTGCCACCATCCCACTCCATGGATCCTGGGAATGTCACCCAGCCCCCTCTCTGCCTCATCTCACCCTGTGCAGCCAGGGGGAAGTGTTCCAGAGGTATCCCTGTCCCAGCTGGAAGAGCACCAGGAGCACACCTTTCACTCACCTCCTTCCTCACCCATCTCCTCGGCAGTCCAAGGCCAGGATTTTTCCAGGGAAGAGCTGAGCTCTGGGAAAGCAGGACTAAGGGGCAGAGGGAAGAGCAGCCCCGTGCCTTGGAGGAGGCAGAGATGTTTGCCCTGCAGAATTCCCAGGGGATCTGTGTTTGGAAACATTGCCTTAAACCCAACTCCTTTCACTGATTGGTGCCCAGGGCGGAGCAGCCTCAGCAGCACCAACACCCCCAGCTCCATCCCTGCCCTCCAGCATCCTGGAGACAGGGAGTTCTTCCCACAGGAACACTCCCCCTGCTTGCCTTGACCCAAGGAATACGAATCAGCTCGACACACGAGGTAAAACTGAGGGCTTTTTTTCCCCAGACCCTGGTTTTTGGCTCAGGGTCTCAACTTCAGCAGCACATTCAGGGAGAGAGACCTGTGATGGAACAAAACCTCTGGGTTTGTTCCACTGCAGCGAATTCCAGGCTTTTTGTCCAAAAATAAGGTGAGAAAAATGAAAGGAGAGAAGGATAAGAAAAACAAAAGGGAAAGCCCAGGAGCTGGAGCTGCACAAATCCAGAGGTAAATGTGCTGCTGGGTGCCAGTGCTGAGAGTGGCTCTTCCCAAAGCATTTATAAAATTCCTTTTTTACAAGTTTTAAACTTTTTTTTTTAACATTCCCTAAACCCATTAACCCCATGACAAAGCCCTCCTGCCCTGCTGTGTCTGTTCCTTACACGTCACTGAAACCTTTAGGAGGGTTTTACACAGAAAGTTTCAAGTGTGTGTGGGGAAATCTGGAGTTAAAAACTGGGAAAAAAAACTGATGGAAAAAATAAACCAGCTCCAAGCAGCTCACCTTGACCTCGATGAAGTCTGGTTTTCCAAGGGATATCAGCTCAGCATAAGCTTTGAGTTCATCCACATTCCAGGCTTTTACCAGGGTCAGCCTGTAAACCGTGCGCTGTTCCTGGAATCAAGGAAAACAAATCCCATTAGCATCCCACTCTGGCACAGAGATGTTCCAGCCCTGGAACTTCAACCAGGAAAAAAAAAGGGATTAAATCATTCCTTTATTTCAGAGATTGAACCAAACCAGGAGCCTCCTCACTTGTTCTTTCGAGGCATTTACTCCACAGCACTGGAGCTGAGCCACCTTATCCCATAAAATGACTGATATTCCTCCTGGATTTCCCAGGCACTTTGTTTTTACAGAAGCATTAATTTAATGGGAAAATAACCAGGAAATTTATCTCTCTTTGATTTGCTCTCCCAGGCATAAAATGTGCCCATTAGTTCCAGATGTTTTCGTTCCTCCAAGCTGGATCATCTGGCACTGGTGACTTTCCCAGGAACATGGAATCATCAAGGTTGGAAAAGCCCTCTGAGATCATCAAATCCAGCCACTCCCCAGCACTGCCAAGGCCACCACTGTCCCCTGTCCCCAGGGGCCACATCCAGATGTCTGTTAAACCCCTCCAGGCTTGGGGACTCCACCCCTGCTCTGGGCAGCTGGGCCAGGGCTGGACAAGCCTTTCCATGAAGGAATTTTCCCCAGTATCCAACCTGAGAAGTGACAGCACTCCCAGAACTTCTGTCCTTGGAGCTGGTCTGATTTGCCCTCCAAGGGCTGCTCTCCAAAGAAGATGCTGGGGACAAAAGGACTCTTGACACAAGCACTTGGCCACGGAACAAATCCACTCTCACTGTGACATCCGCTCGTTTCCATCTTTTCCTGCCCCTTCAGCTCCCACTGATGTTTTATTTCACTTATTTTTGGAATTTTATTTCATTTATTTTTGGAATTTTTTTTCACTCATTTTTGGAATTTATTTATAGAGCAATTTGCCATCAAAAGTGCTGTTTGATTAACTCCTTTCCCATCCCCAAACACTGTTGACAGTAAAATGGGACAGTTTAGTCAGAGGGAAAGAGCCCTGCAATGAATCCACAGCAGCTCCAGGCTCCTCAGCTGGGCCCAGGCTGGATCCCAGTGCTGGGATTCATGGCATGGCAGGGGCTGGAACTGAGTTCTCCCGCTCCAGCAATCCAGGCTTAGCCTGAGGTGGAGTTCAGAGTGTCCCTCCTGTCCCACCCATGAGATGCCCGAGGCTCGACTGCACAGGATCCACTTTGTTATTCCAGAACCCTGGAAGTGTCCAAGGCCAGGTTGGACGGGGCTTGGAGCAACCTGGACTGGTGGAAGGTGTCCCTGCCCATGGCAGGGGGTGAGATGAGATGGGCTTGGAGGTCCCTTCCAACCCAAACCATGCTGGGATTCTGTCATTACAGTTTTCAATCCAAAAGGACGAGCTGATGGAGGGATCTGAGCTGGACAAGCTCCAGAAGTGGCCCCTGGGAATCTCCTGAGGTTCAACAAGGCCAAGGGCTGGAGCTGCCCCTGGATCAGGGCAATCCCAGCATCAACCCAGGCTGGGCATGAGCAGGTGGGAGAAGGACTTGGGGGAGAGGCTGGACATGACCCAACCCTGTGCCCTGGGCTGATCCCCAGGGTGGGCACAGGGCAGGGGGGGATTCTGCCCCTCTGCCCCCTCAGGTGAGACCCCCCTGCAGAGCTGCCCCCAGCCCTGGGGAACAGCCCAGGTAGGACACAACCATAACTAAACTATCCCAAAAACTGTATTAATTAATCACAACTGGGGAGGGAAAGCAGGGAAAGAAACTCAAGTGAATAAAGGAAAACAGGTAGAAACATCAAAAATGACTGTTGTGACTGAGGAAGCCTCTTTCCAGAGGGCAACATCTCTCAAGTGTTGTCAAGGAAAGCTGGAGAAGGGACACATCAGAATGACTAACAGCCCCAAAATGTTACCTGGCAGTAACCCTTGAGGAATGCCAGCAGTCAGATTGCTTTATTCAGGTTTCATTTGTATTTGTGGTACAAGAGAGCCCCGGGAGAGCCTCTTGTAAGCACAGCAGAACAAGAAATAAAGAGCTTAAACTCCAAGAATTCAACGATCTAAAAGCAAGGGGATGTTCTGATCCTGCTTTTCCAGGGAAAGCAACGTATTTCCCTCCATGCAGGCATCAGGAGAGCAAGAGGAGTTAATCCAATAACAAACCTTTTGGAGGGGGGTGAGTCAAGGGTGTGGAACTGCACCTTGTTGGACACCAAAAAGCTCCAGGAAGCAACAGGACCACAAGTGGCCATCAGGTGGCAAAGGAAATCCAGGTTATCCAAAATACAGCCCTGGGGTTTCCTTGGGATTGCCTGAGGTAACTGCTCCATTAAAGGCACCTTAATATAAAATATTGTCCAAAAAACAAGATCTTAACAGGGGGAAAACCACTGAGAAGCACTTAGGCAGGTGGAGGACACAAACCACCTCAGTGCTGGCAGGGTGCTCAAGAAATAGAGATTCTGGGCTTTGCCCCTTGTTGGGTTCTCAAAACTACAGAGCACCTGCCACCTTCCTCTGAGGGGGTCCCAAAAATGCAAGTTCCAGCATCCAGCTCGGCCTTTTGTTCCCCAAACATCTGAGGGCAAAGGAATGAAGATCCAACCTGGGGAAAAGCAGGATTTTCCTTTCAAGCAATGCCTGCTAAAACTTCCTGATCAAATCCTGCCAGGCTGCCCCAAAAAGCATTGCAGCCCTTCAGTGGCAGGACAGGGCACAAGGGAATCACCTGAACAGGGTTAGGGGAGGATCTTTAGGATAAAAAAAGCACCTTTCATTGAGTGGATCTGAGGTGTTGGTCTCAGAGCAGCTGGGAAGTGTCACGGCCCCAAGGCTGCCAGAGCTCAGGGAGGGTTTGGACAACAATCTCAGGGCCAGGGTGGGATTGTTGGAGTGTCTGTGTTGGACTGGATGATTCTTGGGGGTCCCTTCCAGCTCAGGATATTCTATATTAATGCTAATGCTGACACCCCCCGGGGCCAGAAAGGGTTAATAAAGGATCTGGTGTCACTTTGACAAAGTGTTCCCTTCCCACTTCAATAACCAAGAGGGATTGGGGCTGCTTCTTTTTTATCATTTCTTTTTAATTCCCTCCTCCTCAACATTCATCTTCTCGTACATCGGATAGAATTATTCTCCAGGAAACAGCCCAGGGCTGATGTCAGGAGGGACAGGGAAGGGGAACATCATCTCCCTTCTCCAGCCAAAGCAGAGGAGCATCTCCCTTCTCCAAGCTGGGAAGGGGGGGCACCTTCCTTCTCCAAATGGGGCAGAGGGAGTTTTTCTCTTCTCCAAATGGGACAGCATCATCTCCCTTCCCCAACCCAGACATTCCCTTGGATCATGTCCCTGGCTCTGTTGTTCAGTCACAGTAAGAGTTTCCCACCGTTTGGGAGTAAATATAATAAATCCCTTATTTTTATCACCACTTCCTAGTCCCAGTCAGGCACCTTGAACACTCACATACCTTTCTTAGACAGGGCTGAAATTATTTTATTGCCAGAAAACGCCGTTTCCTGCCCAGGCACCTCAAAGAAATGCCTATTTTTGCAGCTAATGAATCTCAATATTGTCAACACAAACGCTGAGCTGCTTGAACGGCAAAAGCACCCTCTGGGGAGAGGAAATGATGGTGCAAACTCCAAACAAAAACTGCTCTTTCCTTCACACAACTTCACAGAGCCGCTGTAGGAACTGGAGGACGAACGGGAAGCCACTTCAAAGGCAGCTCCTTTGGCTCATTAGGATTTGCCTCCTCCCTCCGAGGAAAGGCTTGACTTGCAAAACGGCTTCAGGACACGTTTTCAGAGCTCCTGAGCTGGCAGGGACCTGCTCTGATCCTGCCACAGAACAGCCTGAAAGCTGGAAGCGCAGCCCCACTGTCCAACGTTCCTGGAGGAACTGGAAAGCTGCCCTTTCCCAGCACTGCAAAAGTCCTTTCCCAAAATTCCAGCCTGTTCCCTTGCCTGGGTTATGCAACGACTTCCTAAGTGAGCAAGTGCTGAATAAAGATATCAAAGCAATTTTCACACTTGGAAATTACTTGTCACAGGGATGTGGATCAGGGAAAAAAAAAACCCCTGGAGCCAAGAATGGCTTCAGTAGAGTCGGTACCGCGTGTTTTTAGGCAGAAACCTCGGCAGGGATAAAGGATTCAAAATGCAGCAGAAAGGAATTGCAAATTCCAACACAACCCAAAATTTCACAGCTTTCCAAAGCCTTCTGGTTTAGCCTGGAGACAGAAGGTCTGGAAGAGGCCTGGAGATTGTTTCTGCCTCTCCCAAAGGCAGCTCTGCTCAGCCTCCAGGCTCCCAGAGCTCTGCAGGTCATGGAATGGGTTGGGTTGGGTTGGAAGGGAACTCGAAGATCATCTTGTTCTGGTCCCCCTGCCATGGGCAGGGACACCTTCCACCAGCCCAGCTTGCTCCAACCTCGCCTTGGACACTTCCAGGGCTGGGGCAGCCACAGCTTCTCTGGGCAACCTGTGCCAGGGCCTGCCCACCCTCATGGGGGAGAATTCCTTCCCAATATCCCATCTATCCCTGCCCTTTGACACTTTAAAGCCATTCCCCCTTGTCCTGTCCCTCCATCCCTTGTCCCCAGTCCCTCTCCAGCTCTCCTGGAGCCCCTTTAGGCCCTGCAAGGGGCTCTCAGGTCTCCCTGGAACCTTCTCTTCTCCAGGTGAACCCCCCCAGCTCTCCCAGCCTGGCTCCAGAGCAGAGGGGCTCCAGCCCTTGGAGATGCTCTGGGGCCTCCTCTGGACTCAGTGTGGCACCAGGAGAACATCCTCACCATCAGAAGACTCAGTGCCCTTGAGAGGATGCAGATTAATCTATTTTTTTGGCAAGCAGGACCCTCCCCTCCCATAAGAAGCTCCTCACTCTGCTCTGGCTCATCCATCACTGGAGAAACAACGTCCTCCCAGAGTCACATTGCAGGACCCAGGGACTGTTGTGCTGAGCACATTTCCACAGCACAGCAGAAGTTTTTTTCTCAGCACAGAGCCCCAAAGTTTTCAGCTTCCTTTCTTCAGGCCAGGAGTCATTA